TGTTTATTGAGACGTCTAAAAAACTTGACCTTCTTGGGGTGCCCTGCCCCTCCTTATATAAGTTAAAGAAGCGGATTACATGTAGAATCCAAATCAGATTAAACTTTAACTATTCTAACTTCTCACCGTGGGCTTCTTAACGTCTTGGTCTTCTCTCCGTGGGCTTCTTAACATCTTGGGCTTCTTAATCCCAGACGACTCATCTCTGAGACTCATCTCTGTGACTCCATGCATCTGCCGGGTCACAATCCGTCTGCCGGGTCATAACTGTCTGCCGGGTCTCACCTGCCGTGTTAGGATTTGAGATGACTTAATGTCAGGGTGACTTTAAATCCAGAGATGACTTAAGCCTTAGGGCGGCTTATCCTTATGAGCCGGGTCTTGGTCATGGGGAATATCCCCAACAAGGTTCCTCCTTGGGCCCTTTATAGGTGATAACTATTTCTTCATTATAAAAATTCCTATAAAGGTATTCTCGTGAGTAAAATGCACGCATCGTCCTGCAAATTGGTGGCGATGTCCACAACCGTCCTGGAACTTGCAAACGACCTCAATACGGTCCTGGAAGATGGAAATACGGTGGCAATACGGTCCTTCAAGTTGGGGAACTGGTCCTGGGATACATATGTGCATACAAATCGCATACGCCAGGACCTCCACGTCAGCAGAGGAAAAAAAAAGGGTTCGCGTTGCTCAGCGTGTGCTCGCCCATACATCCGAGAGCTAGTTTATTTTTACCGGCACGTCTATAGCGAACGATGTAAACACTGTAGCGAAATATATATTTAATTTTTCCCTCCTTTATATATATTTCCAAAATTTCAAAAATTGTTCACGAATTCAAAAAAAAATCAAAATTTAAAAATCTATTCACGTATTTGAAAAAATGTTCAAGAATTCAAAAGATGTTCATGGATTTGGAGAAATGTTCACGGATTCAAAAAATTATTCATGAATTCAAAAAACTGTTCATGATTTCAAAAATTGTACAAGTTGGCCGACTCCGTGTTCGCGCTCGGCAGTGCTCCGCGCCCATCAGTCGGCCGACTCCGTGTCCGTGCCCACCCGCCAGCGGACCCCGCGCCCGCGCCAGGCAGCGCTCCGGGCCCACCAGCCAACGGACGCCGCGTCCTCGCCAGGTAACCTTGCCATTTTCTCGATTCCCGTTGAGAAAACAATCAATTGACCATTTTAGGACCTATTCTTCAGAACATAGAGGTATCGAAGATCTAGAAACAATGTGATGACTCCTGTTTGATCCTTCTCCGATGAAATGAATGAATTACCACGCTTTCAGATTGAACCAACATGGTGCCCACGGTAACTCCTCCACCCGTACTGTTTGCTTTCGTGGGGCTTTGCTGCGCTTTGGATCTTATCAGGTCACAACCACCTTCGGTTCTAGACTCCGGCACTTCCCCTAGCTGTGGCACTTTCACTGCCGCCTACTCCTACTATTGGGTCGGTTGCGGTTGGTGTTTTGATTCAAAAGTGGAGAATAGATTGTTCACTGTGAAGGAAATCAGAAATCTACATACAATGGTCAAGATGTAAGCTCAAGTTAAGTGGACGGGTCCAAAGAAATCAGAAATTAGAAATTTCTACTTCTTTTATCTTCCTTACTGCTCCTTATGTCATTTCTCATTTCTTTTTGACGCCCTGCGCGAAGTCCGATGACTGGTGGGTGCGGAGCGCTATCGGGCGAGGACGCGGCGTCCGTTGGCTGGTGGGCCCGGAGCGCTGGCCGGCACGGACGCGGGGTCCGCTATTGTGGGCGCGGACGCGGAGTCGGCCGACTGATGGGCGCGGAGCGCTGCCGAACGCGGATGCGGAGTCGGCCGGCTTGTACAATTTTTGAATCATGAACATTTTTTTGAATTCATGAATCATTTTTTGAATCCGTGAACATTTCTCCAAATCCATGAACATCTTTTGAATTCCTGAACATTTTTACAAATACATGAACAAATTTTCAAATTTTGGACTTTTTTGAATTCGTGAACAATTTTTGAATTTTGGAAATATATATAAAGGAGGGGAAAAAATAAATATATATTTCGCTACAGTGTTCGCATCGTTCGCTATAGACGTGCCCGTAAAAATAAACTAGCTCTCGGATGTATGGGCCGGCTCACCCAGGTAGATGTGCGGGCGAGCACACGCTAAGCGACGTGAACCTTCTTTTTCCTCTGCTGACGTGGAAGTCCTGGCGTATGCGATTTGTATGCACATATGCATCCCAGGACCAGTTCCCCGATTTGAAGGACTGTATTGCCACCGTATTTCCAACTTCCAGAACTGTATTGAGGCCGTTTGCAAGTTCCAGGACGGTTGTGGACATCGCCACCAGACCATGCATGCATTTTACTCTATTCTCGTAGTCTTTCTTTAAGCACACGATCTAGCCCAATATTACCTATAGAAAATTGATCACCTTGTTCGGGAATTTTATCAATCAAGATAGGTGGGGGAACCTTTTTTCTAAGATTCTCATTGTAAGTAGTATAGTGTGTTTACTGTAATTTCCTTATCTTTTCTTGATCATAAAGAAATTCTTCAATAGGAGAACACTCACTACTTATTCTATAGTAAGCAAATATTTCTCTTGCGTCTTTCATAATGCGACCAAGTTCATGAACTAAAAGTATCGTGGTTAGACGCTTAACATAAAGATCATGAATATTGGGAAAATGTTGAGGAATAACCATTATATAGAAGGATGGACGTGCACACATTGTCTCTCCGATTCAGCTATAAGAAAAGATATGGCATCCGCAAGACTAGTAGTTCTAGCAAGAATAGATCCTCCTATCATAGGTACGAGCCTGCATAAGTAAAGAAATCCTGGATAACACCTTTTCCAATAATACTACCACTACCTATAAGGAGTTTTTTTGTATCCATAATAGTGGATTCTTCTTTATTATTAGTATCATCATCAGCAAGATTCTCAAGTGTCTCTTTATTAGCAAATTCATCAAAGCTTCTTTTAGTCTTTTTTTCATTTTCCATTAAATTTAAAAGTATAGCTTGATGATCATAAGATTCCGCACTAGTGGTGAGCATCATTAACTTCTCAAACTCAGACATAATAGCAACTTCGAGCAAACAAGCAAAAAATATATTTTTTGTTTTTGATTATTTTTAGAGAAGTGGAGGGAGATAAAAATGGGAAGGCGAATAAAAGCAAATAAAAATAGATCAAGCAAATGATAATTTGCATGAAGGAACCTGTAGGTATTTGATGTTGTCTCCCCGGTAACGGTGCCAGAAATTCTTTCTACTACATGTGAGCTACGTTGGGATTTTTCTCAAAGAGGAAGGGTGATATAGTAGTGGATAGTATTTCCCTCAGTGAGAACCAAGGTTATAGAACCAATAGGAGAACCACACAAATGCCTAATAAACAGTACCTGGACACAAAAGAGAAAATATTTGCACCCAACGCGGGCAAGAGGGTTGTCAATCCCCTTATATTCGTTAATTGCAATGTCAAATATGGTAATGGTAGATAGGTAAATTGCAAAATAAAATAAAAGAGAGATAATTGCAGCAAGGTATTTTTAGTTTTTGCAATATGATTAAAACAGACCCGGGGGCCATAGTTTTCACTAGAGGCATCTCTGTCACAAAGATAACATACAGTGGGTACACAAATTACTGTTGGGCAATTGGTAGAAGCGCATAGTTCTGGCGTTATTCATGGCAATGATCACATATACAGGCACATATATTGTCATTCGTGCTTTGAGATGACATGGACACAATCTTGAGTAGTTCGTTGTTCCGAGGTGTCATATCCTCGTCGCCCCCACCCCAAATGAACATCGAGATATATCTTATGTCCACCTGCTTACCTCGGTTATTTATTTATTCAAGCCTTTTTCATATGTGTTTGTTTAGCTTGTGCTTTAGCTTGTATCATCATATTAGTTGTTTCCACCTAGTTGCATTTAGGAGAACTCTACTTATCAATAATTATCTTGAAAATTCTATTTAAATTTCTTTAGCATAAGCCTATTCATCCCTTCCGGGTCATCACCCCGATCCTTCAGTTGGTCAAGTTTCTTGCTATCTCAAAAATGTTAAATAAATAGAAGACATGATACACATTCACGAGCACATGAGAATTCTTGTGGGTCATTAATATGTAATAATTGTGCTTATATATATATATATATATATATATATATATATATATATATATATATAGAGAGAGAGAGAGAGAGAGAGAGAGAGGACAAATGTTTCCTACAAACAGTGGTAGTTATCACCACTTGCGTTTTGTATGTTGTATGTAGTATCTGTCGAAATAGAAAGTATGTACGTGTAGTATGTAGTATATAACAATGATTAGGTAGTATATATACTAACTTTTAGGTAGTATATACCATGTTTTGAGTATGCTTTTTTTACGTACAAATATGTACGTATTTCACAAATATAACAAAAACTATGGGCTCATATGTAATTTTTTTCATGTAACTTGCTTTAAAATATCTTAGATATAATATATAAATATATTTAAAATGATAAAGTAATATATAGTACCACATGATAGTATATGAGACATATAGGGAAAATTATAGGGTAACTACCACCGGGTGGTAGGATGGATTTTCCCTATGTGTGTGTGTGTGTGTGTGTGTGGTTCCATCAAAACATATCTATATATATTAATGACAATATATCAATGTCGTGCCACGACAATTTATATATGGATAATTATTTCCAAATAAGCACAATTATTACAATATATATGTATATATAGATAGATAATAATGTTGTGCCATTTATGCATACATATTAATAAAAATATGCACGGCATTGATTTTATTGATGAGGTCATTAATGTGCAATAGTTTTCATTAGATAGCAACGGAACATTCTAGATTTTTGTGTATCCTAGAAATAAATGGCACACATGCATATATACACACATACGGTGCTTGAGTTTCTTTCTGGAGGAAACAGAAACAGTAGAGTCCAATTGTTCAAAAATGAAAATTCTCGGGGAACAAAGAAAGACTTTGTTTCTCCTATGTTTTATTGCAGTTTGTGGCGTAGTAGCCAAGGAAAATAGAAAAGGAGGTAGGCCTAATGGAGGAAAGCGCCATTGGGCAATATATAAGACAATCCAGGTTTTATACTCTTATTGCTATTCTCATATTTGTTGTTTGAGTAAACCATTTTGAGATAACCATGAACCGTTTCACCTTTGTAGACAGAAGATGGTGACATTTTTGATTGCATAGATATCAAATCTCAGCCGGCATTCGACCACCCACTTCTTAGAAACCATTCAATACAGGTATATGAGTTACTCCCTGCGTTCATTGAACTAAAACCACGACACTTATTTTGAACAGAGGGAGTAGTATGTAGGTATGCATTTTTACAGTTAAGTAATCTTGTATTCCATGCTTTTCTTACCCAATATCCAGTCTTGCTTCGGTAATAAACAATAGATTTGCACACATGAACAAGAAATAATGTAATCAACATTGATTTATGGTAGTGAATTATTCTACATTCATGTAAGGATGTTGGTTTGTATGTATCAAACTAACAGCGATTTTTTTAGGGGAACTAACAAACAACTTTGACTTGCATGCAGATGGAACCAAGCTCACATCCTATTGGACTCGATGGCAACTCGATACCAGATACAACATTAGAGTCTAGTACCCATTTGGTTTCGTGTCCCTTGGGAACAATTCCAATATGGAGAAGTGAGCAACACTATCCTATAGTTGACATTAAGGAACTAACTCAACAAATATACACAAGGAATATTACTCGGAATAATAAGAATAACACCACTTCGGTAATGTTTTTGCTATCCTTATTTAACAAAGACATTCTCGTGTGTGTGTG